GCAGAAGCTGCTGCACTGCGCTAATTAGAACACTTCAGCAGACTTGATTAATTGAGTGTACTCTGACACATGCTAAATACCATGCATTAGAGCGGTGCTCCATCACTGATGCCCTATAGTTGCACGCAGCCATTCGTCCTGCCATCCAGTGCCCGGTGGAACAGCAACATAACGGTTTTAAAGGTTGGGTGTCACCTGGCAGGCTGACACGCAAAAAGCTAGCATTGCCTTAAGCAGGGACATGCCCAGGTTTCTTCAGGATGCTCCTTGGTGGTGGGGACATGTTTTGGGATGATTCCGTGAGGGTTTTGCTCCACGTGCCCAGCAGAAGGGCAGCTCCTTATTGGTAGCAATGTAAACAGCACGTGGGGATGGTAAGTAACTTGGTGCCTGGCACAGCCAAAGCCCTGGATTTTCCCGTGGGAACTAATCCCCCGTTTATAACATTGTTTCCCATGGGAAAATCGGTTCTGAGTTACAGCATTTTGATTTAAGATGCAGTTTTCAGGAACCAATTGTGTCGTAAGACCACACGTCTCTGGCATCGGGGATTCTCCCGAAGACACCCGCGCCGAGTCCTGCCTGACCCGACGCTCGGTTTGGGGGTGCCAGCCCAACGACGGAGAGGCCCCGGCCCCTTGCTCTGTGACTGGCCCCGAGCACGCCGCTGAAGAAGCTGGGGGCCCTTGCTCAGCCCGGCCCCAGAGCTGCGGGCTACTCGCACAGCACAGCACAGCACCGCACCGCACCGCCCCAACGCCCGCGTCTCCTGAAGCCGCCCGGCTACGGCTCCAGACTCGTGTGCCACCCGCGCCCCGGCGAACACGGCACAAGCTCCGGCCCGGGACCACGGAGCAGCACCCCACGCACTCCTCGCCACCGGGCCGTCCCGTTTCTCCGCATACTCGGCTCCCGCCGCACCGACCCCGGGCTGGCCGGACCCCTGCGCACGTGACAACCACAAAAACCCCACCCCTACCCCCACCCTGGCCGCGCGGCCTGATGACGCAGAGCGCGGCCAATCAGCGCGCGCTCCGCCCGTGACGCGCGGCGGCGGCGCCCAGGGCGGCCTGTAGGGAGTTGCGGGCGCGGAGCAGGATGGTGCTGCGGCGGGTGCTGGGC